AGTGAGGAACTCAGAAGAAGATTAAGAATGGGAAGAGCGGCTATGAAAGAAATAGAAAAGATTCTAAAATGCAAAGCTATACTACTAAACACAAAAGTGAGAATCATACAAGCCATTCTATTTTCTGTTACCATGTATGGATGTGAGAGTTGGACAGTGAAGAAAGTGGATAGGAAGAAAATCAATGCATTTAAGATGTGGTGCTGGAGATTTCTGAGGATCCTATGGACAGGCAAAAGGACAAACGATGGGTCCTGGAGCAAAGCAAGCCAGAAACCTCCCTGGAAGCCAAGATGACAAAACTGAGGCTGTCATACTTCAAGCACATCACAAGAAGGGAGAACTTACTGGAAAAAACTATAATGCTAGGAAAGGTAGAGGGAAGTAAAAAGAGAGGAAGTCCACATGGTAGATGAATGGACTCTATTAATGAGAACATGGATATGAATTTACAAGACCTAAGCAGAGCAATGGAGGACAGGGAGTCTTGGAGATTTCTCATCCGTAGGGTCGACATGGGTCGAGATCAACTCGAGGGCAGTTAACAACAACAACAAAGTGGAGGATTACAGAGTTGGAGGTGGCTCAAGGCCCGCCCACCACCAACCCTGATGCTCCACCACCAGGGTTCTGTAAGTGAACTGCTAAGGACACAAATAAAAATGCAATAGTATTTGAGGATGGAGGCACCTTCTGCATTGCAGGTAACACATTCCATTTTGTTTTCTGTAGTGCTGAGAACCTCATTCTCAAGAGGCTTGACCAGCTGGAGAACAGGATGACTGCCTTGGAGTATCAAGGCTACTGAAGTTGAAATTTTGTGCAGTTTTCTTACATATTTTGTTACATATTAGCTTTTTTAATATTGCAGTTATTGAAATTCACGTTGTAAGTAGTGCAGATTTTGAAAAGTAAGAAAACTTTTTATTTTGCCTATATCTACATTTATTTTTTTAAAATTACAAAAAAAGTGTTGTATGTGAGTTCTGTGTTGCGCACACATAGAAACTCTTTCCACTCCTATGTTGAGGTTACAAACAGTGTTAACAGAACAAAGGCATGTCAGGGGGATAGTAGAATGGGTTTCTTGATTTTTCTTACAGGCCTGACATTGGAAATGGCAGCATAAGTGGAAGGCTGTCTGTGTTCTGCAGGTGCAGCACGAGATTGAGATTGCGAGGACTTGACCTGTGGTGGGATGGGATGGGTGACACCCCTCTGCCCACCCTCCATCCGTTGTCCCTACCCTCAAGTTCGTCCCGAATGGCATTGGCAATGCATTCACATTTGTTCAAAATGCTGCAATACAATTTTTTTCAAAAAGAACCACCAAAAGATCCATTTCCAAAATAAGTGATCTTTTTAGGAATTGTGTCGTATCACTATGAATTACAATGAACATGGTTGGGTCTGAAATCAATTCAAGTGTGAACAATGCACAGTGGTGGCGCAGTGGTTAAATGCCTGTACTTCAGCCACTCACTCATAGACCACAAGGCTGCAAGTTCAGTACTAACCAGGGCTCAGGCTTAACTAAGGCCTGCATCCTTCCGAGGTCACTAAGATGAGTACCCAACTGTTGGGGGGCAATGAGCTTACAGTTGTAAACCACTTAGACATCCCATAGCACAATATGAAGCGGTATATAAATGAAGCTGTTTTGCTTTGCATATAAAGTAATCTGCAAATTGGTTTAAATCATAGTGTGAAAGAGGCCTCAGTTGAATGGTGAGTTTCAGATGGTGGTTTCAAACATGGATGAGGAAAGTGTGGCTCATGAGTTGCTGTGGCTTGGAAGCCCCTTCCAAAAGATTAACTTAGGACGTTATCACACGGTGCCTAAAGCAGTTCCATCCCCGTCGCATCCCCATCCCATTGCGGTTCCTTTTCAATCCAGA